TTTGTCATATATAGTGCCTCGTGTTTATGTCTCCCAGACGGAGCGAACAGTCCGTTCGCGGAAACTTGCTTTGTGGACTAATAAATCGATCCTAAAATCTGACTGCTTTCTTTCATCAGACGGAATATTCTTAGTGTAGTGGTTATAGTAGATCGCAATGTTTGAACGCTACATTCTCTATAATTTGCCCAACGTTAACCTCTGCAACAAAGAGGATGGTGAAAAAAAAAGAGATGAAGAGTATCGTACATTTCAGGACGAATGGGCTAAATAATTCGCCTTTGTGGAGAGAGCAGGTTGTGCGCTGTGTCTAATTTGCAATGACAAGATTACATCGATGAAACGGTCGAATGTAAAGCGCCACTTCAACACGCGCCATAATACCCTTGCATCAAAATACCCTGCGGAATATAGCCGAAAAAAAGCATGCCAAGAGCTAATGAGCAGGATGCAAACCAGCCAGAAGCAACTCCGCGTATGGACCCAGCAAGGTGACTATAACTCCGCTAGCTTGGCTGGATCATTAGCAATAGTTAGGAACGGAAAACCATTCACTGATGGCGAGTTTGCTAAAACGTTCATGCTGGATGTGGCCAATAAACTTTTTGATGATCTTCCGAACAAAGACGAGATAAATAAATGAATACAAGACATGCCTTTGTCAGCGTAAACGTTTCATGAGCGTACCATCATGATGGCAACTCACATGGAGGAAACGCAAGTGAAGGACATAATTGTAGTGCCGTTCTTTTCCCTGGCTTTGGATGAGTCAACAGACGTAAGCCATTTGGCGCAGTTCAGTGTGATTGCAAGATGTGCTGCTGGTGATGCATTGCACGAAGACAGTCTTGCGGTTCTGCCAATAAAAGAGTTCACAAGAGGTGATTATTTATTCAAGGCTTTCATGGACTTCGCTCAAGAAAAAAAAACTACCCATTGATAAACTTATCTCAGTGTACTGATGGTGCTCCGTGTATCGTGGGGAAAAACAAAGGGTTTGTGGCGCTTCTCTGTGAGCATGAAATTAGACCCATCCTCCGTTTCCATTGCACTCTTTGTGCTCAGATATGTGACGGGCAGCTTGGCGATGTGATATAGCTGGTCATTCGTGTGATCAACTTTATTTTTGCCCGAGCCTCAAACGATCGGCAGTTTAAAATGCTGCTGGATAAAGTTGGAAATAACTATAATGGTCTGAGTTCGCACAGCAATGTACGTTGTTTGTACAAAGGGAAGGTGCCTAGCCGGTTTGCAACTTGTCTGAACGAAATTCGGACTTTCCTTGAAATGAAGGGCACTAAGCATCGTGAGCTAGCCGAACCTGAGTAACTCCACGTGTTTTTTTATCTCGTGGATATGACCGAACATCTGAACCAACTCAACGTTAAATTGCAAG